TACAAAGTTACTTATGCAGTTTGTATATCTCGAAAACAGGATTGAAATTGCATGATGTTTGAGTTTTTCCTTCCGTTATAGGCTAAACACTAATTGTGTTCAAAATTTGAAGCTCCTATGTCTGCTAGAAGTACCTTAGAATTTTGATGATCGGTGAGTGAGTGAGTGTGTGCGTGACGATATTAACGAATTTTGATCTGCAACAGTTCTTAAACTACAGGTTCAAATTGAATGTAATTTGGAAATATGCCTAGTTTTATTATGTTCTTTTAGTCACTGAAAATTCAGGCTTCTAGCTTTATCCATAACGAAGTTATGGGGGGGTGGAAAATGCTCTGAATCGCTTCGAGAAAAGGATGGTACTGTTGTGCCCTTTTTTGCTCGACTTGGCGGGGGCACCCCGTGCCCCCCGATTTATATTTATATAATGTGTTCAGTACAGAAGTATTTCGAGAGTCTTTAATTATTGTTACTATTCCATAGCTTAAGACGAGGCCAAGTAGTACAAAAAGTATTATAAACCATAATAAAAGAGTATGTGAGCAAGAAGTGTGAGTATAATGAGTAATCGGGTAGTGGACATGTAAGTGGTAAGTGTATAAGTATGAGTAGTGTGTATAATTTTGTATATAATTGTGTGCATAGTGTGTGTATTGATAGTTATTGTGTGTTTTATGTATATAAGAGTATGATAAAATGTATGTTAAGTAATAAAGTTTGTTGATATGTACGGTATATATATTTAAGTAACTATTATTTGTATTATATATTATGTAGTAACAAATGTAAGGAGTTATTATTCTATTATGATAAGAAAAGAAAAATATTTGTATACAATAGGAGCATAATAAATATAACAAGACGCAAAAAAACTTTCTTGTGCCTTGTTTATAATTTAAATTATAATATTTTGTAAAATGAGCTAGTCATTTATTCATTTTAAGCTCTTGTATCTGTTGCTCACTTCTAATAATTATTGTTGGCGATTTTTCATCTTTCTTTAATAGAACTTTGCCATAGGCCGTTCAGCAAAATTTGTAAGCACCAGATTTTCTTAAATCACGAGCAAGGAAATGAAGACGAGAACCCTTTGGAGTTAAGTGCTCCGAGAGAAAAATGGGTGTATCCTCATGTGTTTTAAAGCCGAGATGAATACAACGTAATTTTGATTTATGCTTTATATTAAATGCCTTACCCATTTTTATTACCTCTTTCTGGATTAGTGTCGAACCAGTTTGTTCAAGTTTGCCATTAGCCCTATATATGTCTTTTATGTCATGTTTGGTGATCGGACAGTCAATGTTCTTAGAGAGACACAGAGTCATTTCAATTAGGTCTTCTTTGGTCTCATTGGTTCTTTTAGGCACGTTCTTGATAACAAAGTTGCGCTTTTGGTTACTCATCTGAATCGTTTCAATTTTATCTTCTAATAATTTGATGTACTTTTTCTCTTCTTTGGACTGATTTTCTAGTTGATATACTTTTGCTTTAAGTTCTTGATTTTGAGCCGTAAGATATGCGATCGAGTTCTCAATAGAAATATTAGACTGTTGGATTTCTTTTAAAGTAGTGGTCATATATTGCATCTCTTTTTCTTGTTTTTCTGAGTAGTGACACAACATTTTTCTTATCTCTTCTTTAAACTCCTCAAGCTGTTTAATTATCGAGTCATCAATTCCATCTATGCTTCTCTTTGTCCGCTGGAATACATAGCTGGGGGGTGTACTCATACCCATCTCGTACAAGTCCGTCACTGATGGAGAGTTATTCATTGATGCCTCCATGCGTACTAGGATATATATAATACTATACATATATATATACGATACATATTTATATAGATAAATTAAATGTAATTATAAAATGTATTTTTTGAATGTCAGTTGACACTTGTCAATCGTCTTTCTTCTTCTAAAGTCAAAAAGGGAATGATTGATATTTTTATTTTTATTTCATGTATAAATAGTACATTTTTATTCAGTGGAACTGATCCACACTTACATAGAAACGGAATTATACTGAATAATATATTGGCGAAAGTATTAAGTTTATTCAATACTCTATTGTGGTCAGGGTTTGGCCCCCGGGACGTCTCGTGTCTTGAAATCTCGGGACTTTTTGTAAATTTAGTTGTCTCGGATCGAGACTCGAACTACTTTTTGACTACGAATTTGCGTAAAACTATACTTATTGCGTTTGCAGAAGAACTATATTGCATACTTTTTGAAAATATCCCTGAGTTAGAAATAATGGACGCTGAAACCAGTACCAGTAGCTCGACTACTGTACACAACGAATTCGACAAGTCGTTTCAAAGTCAAATGGAACAGACAGTAAAAAAATCGCCGGAAATATACCTGATATTTTAGCAAAAAAAATCAAGGGCAACATTAAAAAAGGAGCTGCAATTAATTGAAGCATTATTAATATAATTATAAGATTTTACTGCCAAAAACTGATTTTGTAATTATAAGAATGAAACATACAAATTGTTTATACCATAAATGACGATGTTAGAATTTGTAACATAAAATATGTTGATTTTTACTACGCCAAAAATTAATCTAACTTTATTTCGAGAACCCTTGCCGTCCCGGGACATCCCGGGACCTTGATCGTGGGTGATCAAAACTTTGAGAATGTCGAGACTTACCAAACGCTATTTGTGTATAATAAAATCTTAAAAAATGTATAGTGACTTGACTAAGTAATTATTAGAAGTAGGAGTGTTTTTTTTTTCATTTTGTTTTTTTTTTATTTAATTATTATGATAAAACCCTTGATTTATATCATTAAAAAAACCTATTCGTTAAAAAAAAATTGTAACATCGGACCACAACGAGTGCAGATATCGCGTGACATACACACCGCCAAAATACATTAAAAAAACTATAATCGGATTGAGTAACTCGTTTTTTAAGTCGTTCAAAACTAAAATCTACTTCCAAGATGTGTTTTTCTATACTAATATTATAAAGAGGTAAAGTTTGTGATCTTGTGAGTTTGTGGGTTTGTGAGTTTGTGAGTTGTGAGTTTGTGAGTTTGTGACGTTGTAGGGGGTAATCTCTGAATCTACTGAACCGATTTTCAAAATTCTTTTACCAATAGAAAGCCACGTTCTTTCTGAGTGTCATAGGCTATATATTAACCCGAAGAATGAAAAGGCTTTTTCGTGGTAGTCGGATTTTCAAAGTAAGTCGGAGAAAAAACGGTCGAACGAAAACGTTTCTTACGAACGCTGCCTTAACGATGAGAGATACATGATTATGTTCTAGAGAAAAGTTGTAGAGCTTAATAATGCCTACAAAAAAGTCAGCGACAGCATATGTCTAACTTTTATATTTAAGTCACAAAAAGTAGTTTTTTATATTAAAAAAATAATTTAAATCGGTAGGTCATGTTTATTGGTCATATTATCAACAATTATGAATTCTTATCAAAATAAATAAATTTATCGTCTAAAATGTTTAAAACAAAAGACTTTTCCCTTTTACTGCATATAATTTGGACAAATGGTTAAAGAGATAATACAACATATTCGTAGGTATGGACGAACCCGAGCGAGCTGTTTGTCTGTTTTCCTGTTTGTACGGGCTAATCTCCGAATCTATTGGACCGATTTAAATGAAATTTTGCATGGTGGTACCTTATATCCCTGGCCAACATCTTAGATACTTTTCATCCCGGAAAATTAAATAGTTCCCGTGGGATAGTTAAAAAACTATAACAACTTATACATCTTAGTACACAAAAACTACTGATTGGATTTTAATGAAACTTTACAATAATATAGTTCATACATCAGAATAACAAATAGGTAACTTTTTATCCCGGAAAAATGTACTTTTCCCGTGGGATAGATGTTTTTGTTTATTTGTAACGTATTATGTACACAACATAGACCCCAAAACAATAGTTATTAAAAAAATTGTCTGTTTGTCTATTTGCCTGTATGTCTGTTTGTCTGTTTTTGTGTGCGCGTTTCACGCGAAAAGTAATGTACCAATTTCAACGAAATTTGGTGAAGTGATAACTTATTACTCGAGTCAACATTTAGGGTACCTTTTGTATGTATGTATGTTGTATTCAGCCCTTTTTAACACACGCACGGGCCTCCCTTCAGTACGAGGTGGATCAGGCCATAGTCCACCACGCTGGCCAATATCAGAGGTGCTAGACCCGGGATTTGAACTTGCTTCACTCGGTTTCCCAAGCGAGCGCGTTACCATTGGGATACCACTGCCTAGATACGTTTTACTTAAAGAAAATCTTTCTTTCCCACGGGAAAATACAATAACTGGTTCTATCGAATTGTCCTTAGAAATTTATACGGCTAACGTTGGCTCAACCTTAAGAGATAGATCAAAACATTGTACAAGGAAATTGTAAGTCTTAAAAAGGTCTATAGAAAAGTTCTACATAGTATATGTCTATCTCCTAAGGTACACTCGCTATAACTATTTTCATTATTATATATTTCTGTTTTATTATACGTTATTTATTCTATCTGAGTATAGGTACATAATATATGAATAATAAAACTGTAGAGGTCAAATGTCTGTACATAGAAGGTAGAAAAAATTGCTTCTAAAAAATAAAAATTCCCGTAAGGAAAGAAATAGAACAAATCCAGATTTTTTCAATTTTTTTGTTTCTCTGTCTGTTTGTCTGTTCGTACGGGCTAATCTCCGATACTATTGAACCTATTTAAATGAAATTCGATACTTTTCATTCCGGAAAATTAAAGAGTTCCCGTGGGATAGTTAAAAATTTATAGTAACTTATACAGCTCAGTACACAACAACTTATGCACCTAATTTAGTAAAATTTGGCATGCTGATACCTTATATTGCAGGTTAAACAACAGGTTACTTATTTTTATCCCGTAAAAATGAACGGTTCCCGTGGGATAGATCTGTTTGTGCTTTTCTAGAGGTGAACCCGAGCGAAGCGAGGGTGAGCCGCTAGTTATAATTAAAGTAACAGAAATAATTATATACCTGTATGATAGCTTCGACTATAGTCATAGTTTTGCCGGTGCCGGGCGGCCCGAACACGATGTACGGGGCCTTCCCGGAGGTGCCGGACACTATGTGCTCCACTGCAGACCTCTGCTCCTCATTGCCAGCTATAAGCGGGTTATAGAACCTAAAATAAAAATAATTTAAGTGACGAATTAAAAATGGGACAGTCGTATTAGTAATTTCTTATGAAACAAAGATGTCTGATGATGATCAAATAAACATTTTAAAATTTATTAATTTTTATTTATTTTACAGATCATACAACGTAAAATAAAAAATGCACACATTTACTTAATTTCTTCATAAATGTTATGCTTGCTATTGTCCAAAAGTAATCGAACGGATAAATACTTCAAATTTCATATGCCACTAGCGACTTACCCTCACTATTCATGCTCAGGTCCCCTGAATGGTTTAGGAACGCATAAAAGACAAAATTTGTCTTAATTTGACATTTAATGTCAAAAAAAAATTTTTTTTTCGGTCAGAAACCTTTGCAGGCATATACGGAATAACGCACCAGAGATTCATCACAATCAAATCACTGGTTCAGGAAAGTGTGGAGGACAAACATACAAACATTCATTTTTAATTATATAGAACTAGCAGAACCCGCGACTTCGCTCGCGCTAAAACTACAAAAAATCTCTAAAAAGATAATTTCATACAAACTTTCGTCCCCTACTTTACCTCCTTATAGGATGAATTTGGAAAAATGCTAAAACACGTATTTATTTAATTTTATTAAAAAGGAATAATACCAAGTTGCAAGTAATTCTGATCATAAATATTTTTTTGGGTTCTATTATAACGTCTTTTCCCGTGGGAAAGAGATAATTTCCCACGGTAAAAAGTAGCCTATGTCACTCTCCAGCCCGCCATTTATCTCCACACAAAAAATACGCCAATCCGCCAAGTCGTTTCAACGTAAAAGAAAGACAAACAAACAAACACACTTTCACATTTATAATATTAGTATGGATATTATTGTAAAATTTCATAAAAATCCAATCAGTAGTTTTTGTGTACTAAGCTGTATATAAGTTACTATAGTTTTTTGACTATCCCACAGGAACTATTTAATTTTCCGGGGTGAAAAGTATCTAAGATTTTGCCCGGGGATATAATGTACTACCATGCAACATTTTTTCTAAATCGGTCCAATAGATTCGGAGATTAGCCCGTACAAACAGACAAACAAACAGACAGAAACAAAATTTTTGAAAAAATCTGGATTTGTTCTATTTTTCTTCTTACATCCCCCTGACTCGGTTTTTGCCATTTTTTTTCTATGTACAGACATTCGACCTCTACAGTTTTATTATATGTATAGATGATAATTTGAAATATTTAATCAGTATACAATTACTAACTTCTTGATAGGCTTCACAGCGATTCTCTTCTTTGGTGGTTCAGGAAAAATGCGGCATTCCTGTTTGGAGCTGAATATTTTGCTTATAGCCTCGTGCGAGCGCTCGTACGGCACGCGCGAGAGCAGGAAGCGCACGTCGAACAGTGCTTCAGGGGAGTAATAATTGTAGAATCTGTACATATATGTTTGAATATTAATAAAGAAAATTTGTAAGGGCTGTCGTTGTTTTAATTTCAAAAAAAATCATCCCTATTTTCACCCCCTTAAGGGATGATTTCCAGGTTAAAAAGTATCCTATGTCCTTCCCAGGGTCTCAAACTATCTTACTAAATTTCATCTAAATCGTTTCAGTAGATCCAGAGATTACCCCCTACAACGTCACAAACTCACAATTCACTAACTTTACCTCTTTATTATATTAGTATAGATTAATTCAATCCTAACTTCTTAATAATTGCATATGTCGCAAGGAAATTGTAAAAACCGTGAAATTGTAAATACCCCGAGTATTATCAATCGTCTCCTTTTCTTCCAATATCATGGGAAATTTTTAGGTTATTATAATTTCACTAGTGAAATTATAATTTAACGGATCTTACAATTTCCCTGCGATACAAAAATACAACAATTTACTTACGACTGGTCCATATTTGCTAAGACAACATGATTATCTTCAATGTCTTTAACAACACTTTCGAAAGTAATAGTTTCGTTTTCTTTCGGTCTTATGAAGACTCGATCACCTGAAATAATATAATTTACATTTATATGTTTAAGGCGCCATGGGTCCAATGTAATTTTTCGTGCGAAGAAGTGAAGTGTACCCTCCCACAAAGCGAGCTACGCATTATTGGATTATATTTTGAGCCACACCACACACATTTACTGTATTTGTCCTGACCCGGGAATCGAACTCAGGACCTCCGAATCTGTAGCCGTACATACTAGACCACCGAGGTAGTTTGTATTAACTAATGTAAATTACTGCAATTTAATATTTTTAGTTGGTTTAAGATTACTCCTTTCTATGTCGATAAATATTGTTCAGGTAATTTATAAGAGAAAACAAGTCCTAATTGCTTACCACGTAACAATGACGGGCGCTTCTCAGCTAAACCAGGTACTTCCAATATAAGCATATCGTGCCTTTGTTCTATTTTTACATTCGACATATTATATTTCTAAAACAAGAAACAAATACGAATCTTAATATTTGAAAAACCAATGAATTATTAATATTCAACATCGAAAAATATTTAAAAATATAAGTGATACTATGGTATCCATGGTATGGTACGGCTGTTTAAACAAGAAAGTTAGAAACACAGTGAAGCAAAACTCTTGGTTTCACTTTCTGCAAGAAATGTAAAAACTTACCACTAATATTCTTTTCTCAAAGCTGAATACCTAAAATACTTCTATAACTACTACTCATAGCTTAGCTCTGTATATTTTTAAAATCATAAAAGAGAAGATAAAAATAAGTTATATTATAAAATCTTAAATTCAAACAAGAAAAAGAGAACAAAATGTTTAAAACTAAAGTTACCCTTAAGTTAATTCTTGCGATGCACTCCTCCCACCACAGCAGGTAATGGAAATACATCATATAGTTGTGTTTAGTTGGACCCTCATCAAATATTGCCCTGAAAAGAATGTCGATTAAATATTTGCTTGTTATAACTTCTATATTCTGTATGTATAACAATTTTAAATAAAACTAACTTTCCCGAATTAGCACTGTTTAATCTATAACTAATATTGTAAAGACACAGTTTGTTTGATTGAACACGCTGATCTCCGGAACTACTAATCCGATTTGAAAAAATATATTTGCATTAGATAGCCTGTTTATTGAGGAAGGCTATAGGCTATATAACATTATGCTGATACCCAAGGGAGCGGAGCAGTAATCATAAATGTCAACAAATCTGGCAGACTTCTATAAATTGTTGTAAAACTGATGTTTAATATCGGAAGTTTGAACGAGGGCAAAGGCGCGGGTACTGCTAGTTTCTTTATATGGGATGAGGCATCTGTACTATTTCAACCCCTCCGATGCGTGTTCACCTGGGTCTCATTATCATAAGGCAGTTCAGCCGGGCGCGAAGCCAAGAGACACACAAGGAGATGGCCCACTTCGGTGGGTGGTGTACCATGCAGTTTGCTCCTGGTACTTCTCTGACAGCAGAGTGAACCGTGGGAGTAACCCCTTGGTTGTGTGTTCTGCTTCGGCAGACCTGCCGTCGGGGCGTCGTAGTTGAGTGCGTAAGCGATCCTGCGACGCCCCATTAAGACGGGGGAGATTGTAGGGTTTTAGTGAGTAGTACTGGCTTTTCTAGCCGCCAAGTCCTACATAACCTGTTAGGAATATTTACGTATACCACCTGTATATATACAGGTGGTATACAGCGGCTCACCCTCGCCTCGGTCGGGTTCGTCGCTAGGTACGTTTCAAATAGATATAAATAGTTATTAGCCAGCGTTACCCATATAAATTTTAAAATTTTTTTTTGTTATTTTTTCTGGTGTTTTAATACTTATTATCCTATACCGAACTAAGAGAAATTCAAAAAATCAAATATCATAAAAATTGGTCCAGCCGTTCTTGAGTTATAAATGGTGTAACTAACACGACTTTGTTTTATATATATAGATGTATAATGTATATGATAGTATCCTTAATAGTCTCAGAGACTAAAGAGCTACCTGCTACACAAATTTCAGGCTGCAGCTAACAACATTCAATCAGAATAAATAAAACTATCTCTTCGGATTATTTCACGGATTTATTTCGATTTTTGGTTCCCGACTTTTCGAATGCTTTACAGCAATCATACAGTTTTATTTAAAATGTCAAATATTCGTAAATCTAAGTATTATTTAATTAGAACTTATGCTAGCAAATATAGATTAAGTATGTACATACCTGGTGGATATAAGCAGCTCCCGTAGCTTTAACAACATATCTTGATTATATGGTAAATCTTCCAGCGCGTTTTCTTCAAGCCCACGTGGTAACAAAATTTTTAATAGCTTTGGTATCTTAAATAAAGTTTCATATGGCCTGAAAATAAATACTATTAGAAATGACAAGTCAAGAAAATTTTAAATTTAATAAATTGATGTAATATATATAATATCGACTATAAAGTTTATGATGATTTTTGCATCTTAGGCTTGTGCAAATCGGCAGATTATTAAATTGGACACTTTTCAGGATGTGACTAGCCTACCACACCTTAATCTGACGGTTTCAAGTATTTCTACCTTATCAAAACATTTTTTAAATATTTTAATCGGCTTCCCTAGACGCGCCCTTTTATATAGAAGACTTATATTGTGGTGAAAGTACTCAATAGAGTGCAAGGTAACCTCTTTTATGTTAATCTGCCGCGCTCGAGTAACTACAGAAAATCCCCTCTTGGGCTCCCCTACTATAATGTTACAGTTTTTGTTTTTATTGCAATGCATAAAAATAATAAAAAAAAACAGCTAATAATTATATATTATATTTACTTACACATGACTAGTGCATTGAATGAAGTGCTCAGCTTTTTCCCATTTCTCATTATTGTATGGGCTTTTGTTGGTACCCAGTTCTATATGATGCTCTTGTACTAAAACTACCTAAAATAGAAATTGAATTAAGTGTTATTTTAACCTTCCTAAGCAAAACAGAAACCCGGAGCAAAGTAAAAGCCTTAAAGTTAATTGATTTTATTAATATGTAACATTAAAACCTATTTATATACTATGTATATAGTAAATACCCTACCAGTAGTACATAAGTTCCTTACACGAATATAATTTTATTTATATCTATCAACTTTTTTAGTTTACACAACAAAATGGCCAAACAAGAAATAAAAATGTTCATGGTAAACTTTGTACTGTGGTTGATTTTACAGCATGGCCAAAGCATATTTAAACGTAAATTATGATAATAATCATGAAAATATCATGATAATAATATATAAAATAATTAATGAAAAAGGAAGTAAAATTCAGAATGAAACTAATATTATTGTTATCTGACACACTTAAAAAAACATGATCTTGGCTATTGCCTTGTTTTACATAGCCATTGACTCATATTTATACTATAAATGAATATTAAAATTGATTGATATTCCACAGTTAGGTTTACAAAATTTTGCTTGAAATATATATACATATATATGTTACATATTTTCAAAGAATCACAAGGAACAAGGGAACTAAAAACTAAACTTGAACCTTTTATTTTTATTGATAAAATAAATATATTATACTAAGCTGAATAAAAAAGGCTACAGCATCAGCTTAATATCAGAATTTTCATAAAAACATATTTTTTTAATTTATTATAGACTATTAAAAATATTTATTCCTAGCTTTAGCCTGCAACTAATTATAAAATAGTTCTTTTTTTTTATAATTTGTTTAGTAACATGCTTTCATTAATCATTATTCATCTTTATATCAAAACCTTCATAGTTCTCCAACTGTCGAACAAAGGTTAGTTAAAATTATTTATTGTTTTAGTTTATTAATCAAATATTAGCTTAGACAAGTATTTTTGATTTTAATACTTTTTTCAGGTTGTAAGACTTTCGACACATGAACAAATATATATAGGCGGTCTTACAGGATTTCCATTTTGAGTAGAAAACTAAAACATAATTTTTAAAGCAGTAATACTCACCATTTCACGTATAATAATAATATTCTCATCTTCACTCTTCTTATGAAAGGTAAACATAATAGGCATTTCAAACTGACCAATATCTGGAGATTGAAACCTAACACTTATTTCTTCACTTAATGTGGATTCTGTAAAATGTTTGATACATAATTATTATAAAATATGTACCAACTTCATATTTGAATATATTTTTGTAAAGAAGAAGTTTGTGAGTTTGTGACGTTGTAGAGGTAATCTCTGGATCTAATAAGCCGATTTAGATGAAATTTTGTCAAAAGATAGTTTGAGTCCTGGGAAGGAAATAGAATACTTTTATCCCAGAAATCATCCCTTAAAGAGGTGAAAATGGGGATGAAACCCAAGTAAGCGAAGGTGAGTCGCTAGTATACAATAAAATAATAAATAAATATATATTACATAAAATACACATTATTGTATATCTCATTACATATTTTATTTATTTTCCCATTTAAACTCACTTTTATCTAAAACATTTGGCTCTCCACCAAAAATATATGGATGCTCATTCATTTGGAATTGAGGCTGAGGATGGGCCAGTTGAATGCCAATAACGAGCAATCCTTCATTTTTCATATTATTGCTGATACTAAAATTAAACTTAACTACTTCATTAGGCATTACCTGAAAGGGTTAATTAGTGCTGTAAATATTTATTTTACATATTTTTATTTTATGGTAAAAGAATTCAAGATCAATTTACTAAAATACATAAAACTTATTCTCTACAATTTTTATAACAAAAGTAGTAATTTTAAATTATCCAATTGATATTTTATTTCAATTTTAAAAATATCTTAAATGTTTATAAAGAAATAGTTTTAAAGTCGAAACAGTCTTAATAATTATATCTTTGCTTCAAATATTAAATCTTAATAATTATGCATCATAAACTAACTTCTTTTTGAATGTAATGTAACTCTATATTTGAAAGATATAGGAATTTATTTTATGAGATAAGATAAAGTAGATATTTCAAAATATAATGAATTGATTTAACAATAAGCAAAAAAATTTATATTGTACATTCTTCGGTGTTATTATTTCTATATCTATATTTGAATAATACAATTGTAGCATAAATTTCTAACAATTAATTATACCCACATATATTCTAATTTTATGGTGGTCACTATTGTGCACATGTGCCATACCACCAGTTGCTCCCTGAACTGTAGCACTACCAAGTACAATGACTCCATTTCTGTTTTTGCTAAAATATTTCCTACACAAAAAAGAAGAAAATATTTATAGTTAATATAGACAAAAACATATAAAACCAGTATAGCTTATGAGATTCTAATTACTTGTCATTATTAATACAAGTTTGTCAAACATATCACTTACTTTTAAAAAATAAACTACCCCTTAATATCAAATGCATACCGTATATTTATATACACCACATGAAACAATAACTTTCTACTTACTTGTTATTTTTATAATTTTGTAAAATTAAGTTGCACAAATGTTTCGGTGTATCATCATGATGTACAACCGAATTTTCATCATAATCTTCATCTACAACTCCGCACACGTTGCAATACATGTTAGACAAAACCTAAAACAATATTTACAACGATAATAAATAATTGAAGCTATTAACTTGATTAAACTTTAAAGTCCACTTTATAAACTATATTTCAATTTAACAGCTTACCAAAGATTATAAACTTCCCATGGAATATGTACATACACTTAATAATTGTGGTATAGATGATAGATCCTATTGTGATATGTAGTTACAATAATTACGAATAGATATTTATGTAAAATGAACAGTTGTTCTTCAACGTAGAACTTACCGGAACAAAGCGTTCTGGATAATCATTAACCAGTCTCGAAGTATTTAACAATTAACAGCTGAAGTGAAAAATAATTCTGAGAAGTGAGAACTGAGAAGCACATTTAGCTTTTAGAATTCCCCTAACGACAAAACATGTATTGCCAGTCACCATTATTCTTTATTCCCTATTTTAATTAGTTAATCTCACTCACGGAAGATAAAAAACGTTTTTTCTCTTCTGTGATCTGCAACTTGTTTTATTTTGTCTTGCTGTAAAAATATGAAAAGAAAAAATATATGTTGTATTTTTATTATGTATTGTATTTTTTAGCATAAATTTTATTTTTTTATTTTATTTATTATTAGGGAAACATACAGTGTTACAACACAAACAACATATAACAATAAAATAGTACATACACCAATAAAGTTTCCACAAACAAACAATTCATACAGTAAAAGAGTAGAGATTTGACAAAACAATAACACTAGAATTATGTTAGCAGAACATGCATTAATATAAGATATGCAGTTAAATTATAAATCTTTTAGGAGAAGTGCATTCCTAATTTTCCTTTAGAAATTTTCTACAGTACAATTCATTAAATCAATGTCGTTAAAGTGAACACTGTAATCACAGGACCTATGTATAAATTCATTTTGAGCGAATTTCGTTCTGGTGACAGGAATGCAAAACAAATCTCTTCAACGAGTGTTGAAGCTGGGACATCTGAATTGTATATTACTTAAAAGATAAGGAGAGTCAACAAAATTATTAATTATTCTATATAAAAACATTTGGTCTTTATAAACGACGGCTTGCAAGAGAAGACACAGCAGGACAGCTTTGATGTAGAGAGAGGCACCTAAAGTTCAAATGTTTAATAAATTTAAACTGGACCCTCTCGAGTTCCTCAATATAAGTTTTACGGTTGGAGTTCCATATTATTGATCCATATTCCAGAATCGAATGAACCAAGGTATTATACAGTAAAAGCATTGTAGATAAGTCCTTACTCACTCTAAGTATGAAACCCAGCATTTTAAACGCTTTGGAAGTCATTTGATTTATGTGGTATTTGAACAACAATTTGCTATCTAGAATTATACCCAGATCACGCACTTCAGTAACTCGCATTATTACTTCACAACCAAGTGTATATGGGAAATCTAAGGTAGAAAGCTTCCTAGAGAAAGAAATAACGGAACACTTCCTAATATTCAGATGTAGACAATTATTGGAACAATATGAGTAAAATCTGTCTAAGTCTTCCTGTAGTAGAGCGCTATCTGAGAGACATGAGATTTTTCTAATAATTTTCAAATCATCAGCATAAAGAAGAAATGAACTATTCTTAAAGACAACCTTAATGTCGTTCAGGAACATGTTAAAAAGCAATGGTCCCAGATGAGAACCCTGAGGAACACCAGAGGAAACAGGCACGAAAGATGACGTATGGCCTTTAATAGTAACAGCCTGACTTCTGTCCCGAAGATATGAGGTTATCCAGCGTAGCAGATCTCCGTGTATACCCATCCCTGCAAGTTTTTGAATAAGAACATGATGGGGAACCTAGTCGAACGCTTTCGCGAAATCGGTATAGACTACATCTACCTGGTGACCCTGGTCCATGGAAGCAGTAAAGCGATGGACTAATTCAACGAGATTTCCTTCGGTTGATTTTTTATTTACAAATCCATGCTGTTCGTTAATCAAAAAAGGTCTTTAATTGGGAAATATGCAATCGTACACAATCTTTTCAAAAATTTTACTTAATATACATAATTTAGAAATTGGCCTGTAGTTCTGAACCTCGTGTTTATTACCAGATTTTAATATAGGAACCACAAATGATTTCTTCCAAATACTAGGCATTTCACCGGTCTTAAGTGATTTGTAAAATAGTAGAAAAATTGGATATGCTAAGTGGTAACAGCAGAACTTAAGAAAAATAGGAGGTATCCCATCTGGGCCCATTCCTTTCCTAATATCAAGGGATTTTAGATATTTCATAACTAACTCCGGTGTTATAAGAATTGAATTAATTATTGTAGGAGGCATGATAATGGTTTCAGAAGATTGATTAGGATTTGGATTAAGAGTAGAAACTTCAAACGTAGATTTAAAATAATCACTGAAAAGATTTCACACGTTTTGCGGATCATTAGCTAAACGATTGCCAAAAGTCAAAGTATACGGAATACCGGAGGAAGAGTTCTTAGATTTGACAAAAGTCCAAAAATATTTACTATTAGATTTAATTTTTATTCAGAGTTATAAATATATTGATCATAACAGTAAGTTTGCTTAATTTTTTGACGTTCACGGAGTAAACTAAATGAATCATAATCAGAAGAACGATTGTAGATTTTCCATTTCCTGTGATATCTGAGCTTATCGGAAATGATTTTTATGAGAGAACGAGAGTACCAACAGGGAAATCTATTTATTGACTTTACTTTTTTCACTGGTGTTAATTCGTTGATAAGCGTATTTATTCTATTATAAAATATATCTACTGCAGTTCGCAAATCAGCATCCTCTAGTAACTCAAACCAGTCAATAGATGCCAATACATCATTTATTGCATCATAATTGGCTGCATGAAATAAACGAATTGTCCGTGGTTCAGAAATGGGTTTACATAATGAAAAGCTAGATAAATTTAATTCCAACGCGGGATGGTGTGCATCTTCAGGTGTAAGAGGTGAGCAGCTGCAATTAACTAAACAGGGGCAGTTTCCTATAACCAAATCAAGAAGCCTATTATTAGCGTTTGAAATAAAATTGAATTGCTTAAAATCTGTAAAACTAAGAAAATTGTGTAGAGCATTTATAAGACAATCCTCTTCGTAAGAGTTATCTATCTCCATGTGGTACCACCATTTGACCAAACTGCACCCGATACGTTGAAATCACCGACTAGAAAAAATCTATCATCTGGCTTAATTGTAAACTCATTAGATACAGATTCAAAAAAGTCACAAAGAGCTTCTCGATGCAATCGACTATGAGGGAAATAAGAACAGTAAATATGCAGAAACCTTAAATTCAAAGACGACTTAAGAGCAAGGGTCACTTTAAGAACTTCACCTGCATAGTTATTCATCGGAATCACAGAAGAAGCACAAACCGACAAACTAGATTTAACTGCAATTAACACACCTCCACCCATAGTTAGTCCACAGGTATTGTAACTTCGATCTCATCTATAAACAGTGTATCGCGAATCAAATAGTTCCTCACTAAAAAATCCATCTCGCAACCACGTCTCTGTTAAACAGATAACGTCGTAATCAACCTGCATTAAACTTCTAAAGAACAAATTTGTTTTATTTCGCAAGCCTCGAACATTTTGATAATAGATAGTCAGCCCATTATCCATTATCAAAAGCAATATAATATTCATTTATAGATAAATTCATAAAAGAGACCCCATATACTATATAAAAAAATTAAACAATTAGGCAAACGTAGCATCCATTATTGTAAAAATGAGTAGCTAAGCAAAAGGAGATGTCCAAGCTTAAACACGAAATATTAATAACACAAATACATGCAATCAAATGTTCAACAATGACTAAGACATATGTAACACTTAAACAATTTTTTTAAATCGCTATTGCTAACAATATGGATCACTGGACTAGAGTCATTACGCCGAACCATAATTGAACAATTTTTCACCCAGACATATTTAAAATTCTTTTCTTTAGCTATTTTTTTAATTTTTATAGTAGCAGCAAGTCACGGAAATATCTTCAATAAAGTCGTTATTTAGTCTGTGGATTATGTTTACAAAAGTATACATCAAAAAAGACGGCAAAATAATTACATTTTTGCGGAATTATTGATAAATAAGCAGTAACTACTGTAAATATGTTACATGATTTTTCCCCTAAGTGCATCCTGTGGTTAAAAACCACACACGGCTGAAACGGGGAAGTATTTTTATGATAAAATTGGCACACTGGCACAGATAATATCAAAGGTCTTTAAGTTTACAACGAAATATACCCTGTTTTCCAATTAGAGCACTAAAACGCACTACGCGGCATAACTTCGAATGTTTCAACTACAACAACGCTCCGCTCAATCGAGCATTTTGAAAATTACTGCTTTTAGACCAGAGTCGATAATTTTTAAAACCAAAAAAAATTATAGTTGGATGAAAAATTAGAAAAGGAGGGGAATATTATAAAAATAAAAGGAAAAATAATTTACGGGAGATCTGAGGTCGGGAAGGGGATGGGGGTGAGGTTTTAAGGGTAAAAAACGGTTTTTCCCGATTTCCGGCAAAACTAAAAGTCCTATCGAAAAAAGTCAAATGGCAAAGTTGTAGGTAATAAAAAGATCTAAAACTTTTGTATTTACACTTTTTTCACATAACCTCAAAATTTATGTGAAAAATTCAAAAAACCAAGTTTTTGGTTTTTTATTTTTATCTTTTACAAAAATGTTTTTGTTTAAACGAAATTTGGTGAAAACTTACTTTTTTATGTCCCAAATATGCTGTAATTTATTTGATTAAAAATTGTTTTATTTTTTCTCCTTATTTTGAATTAATATCGAAAAAGCACCCTAATTTTCAATCGAAAGTCCACCCGTTAAAATATCATCTTTTTTTAAAAAATTGGTATGTTTTCTGTTCGTTGAAATCTCTACTTTCCGATGGTGAAAAAAAATATATGTTACTATAGTAAATCTTCTGAGAAAATGCAAAAAACAAAAAACCTTTTTTATTTCATACACTTGCTTATCATCTGCCTTGTTGCAGATGATACAAACAGATTCATCCATACTGATAATCTGAAAAGACAAAATCGAATATATATATATATATATATATATAGACCTGGGTCACCGAGCTTTGCTCGGAGTTTTTGGTTAGAAAGTACAATTTTCTTTTAAAAAACACTAAAATCATGAATAAATACAAAAAAAAATACCATTGTATCCGACCGGGATTCGAACCCGGACACCTATGTTTGCCAATCTTGCGTCTTTTTGTTTAAAAAAACTACAAAGTTGAATAAATATTAAAAATAAAATAAAATAAAACTTTGTACGCTACGGAGATTCGAACCTGGACACCTGAGATTGTTGATCTTGCACCTTGGCCGCTTGAACACGATGCTTATATATCCGAGCGTGCAAAATTATCGAACATAATATTTTACGTGGAATAATACAAAAGGAATAATAATAATGAATCTTTATTTATTCTATACATGCTTACTTATAATTTTAAATTATAATTAGACTTAATTAATAATTTTTAACATTGTATTTTAACAGATCATATTTATAACTTATTTGATTAGATTTAATTTAACTTCAATTTTTGGTTAGTGACTATTTATTAACTTATCATTTTTTAACTAATATTATTTTATTTTAAAAATCTTTAATATTATTTGAAGTGATATTGTATGTTGTGAGCAATTACTTAATTGATTAATATATATAAATTATCATTAACAAATAAATAAATAAACAATGACAATAATATAATAATAATAAATATAAATAAAATTTCTTTCCATACATTAATTCTGACAATAGTTATAAATTAGGTATTTAATTTCATAATAGTATAATACATAATTTCATAATACATTTAGTATTTATTTAGTAAATGTCTTTTGTGAATTTCCTATTAGGTTTCATGTATAGACCCCTCTAGGGTAAAAACCTCCTCCAAAGTAGTCCTGTATAGAGCTCTCCGTTGGAGATTATACTTGTATGATTGCAAAGGGTTTCTTTTCAAATTTTGTTTGCAAGATATAATTTGTTTCTGATATGCCTATAAAGTTTATAATTTTATCTTTGTGTTCTTTTGATTTGTTGTAGGAAATGCAGCTTTTAATTCTAGAAGATGAACAAAATCGCATACATCTAGTACCTATACAGATAAATAAAATTGAAGTTTCATTTGTAATATCATTTGTATTATTAAATGCATATGAAAGGTAAAGTTTGTGATATTGTGAGTTGGTGACGTTGTAGGGGGTAATCTCTGGATCTATTGAACCAATTTTCAATATTCTTTTACCAATAGAAAGCCACGTTCTTCCTGAGTGTCATAGGCTATATATTAACCTGAAAAATGAAAAGTCTTTTTCGTGGTAGTCGGATTTGCAAAGTAAGTCGGAGAAAAAACGGTCGAACGAAAACGTTTCTTACGAACGCTGCCTTAATGATGAGAGATATATGCACAGAGTACATTGGTATATACTAGGAAGATTATGTTCTAGAGAAAAGTTGTAGAGCTTAATAATGCCTACAAAAAAGTCAGCGACAGCATATGTCTAACTATTATATTTAAGTCACAAAAAGTAGTTTTTTATATTAAAAAAATAATTTAAGTCGGTAGGTCATGTTTATTGGTCATATTATCAACAATTATGAATTCTTATCAAAATAAGTAAATTTATCATCTAAAATGTTTAAAACAAAAGACTTTTCCCTTTTACTGCATATAATTTGGACAAATGGTTAAAGAGATAATACAACATATTCGTAGGTATGGACGAACCCGAGCGAGGTGTTTGTCTGTTTTTCTGTTTGTACGGGCTAATCTCCGAATCTATTGAACCGATTTAAATAAAATTTTACATGGCAGTACCTTATATCCACGGTCAACATCTAAGATACTTTTTATTCCAGAAAATTAAAGAGTTTTTTCCGTGGGATAGTTAGAAAACTATAGTAACTTATACAGCTTAGTACCCAACAACTTATGCACCTAATTTAGTAAAATTTGGCATGCTGATACCTTATATTGCCAGTCAAACAACAGGTAACTTTTTATCCCGGAAAAATGAACGGTTCCCGTGGGATAGATCTGTTTGTGCTTTTCCAGAGGCGAACCCGAGCGAAGCCAGAGTGAGCCGCTAGTATACTATATAAATAAGAAAACTCATTTTTTTAAATTATTGTCTGTTTGTTCCAGATAATCTATGAAACGGCTGGACTTATTTTGAAGGGACTTTCACTGGAAGATAGCTCCATGTTATAGTGATGTTATAGGCTACTTTTATTTTAGAAAAAGAATTAGAGTTCCACTCAAAAAAATTAAAACGTACTTAGAGACGAACCCGAGCGAAGCGAGCTAGTCATTGATAGCTGTACCTAACCCCCATAATTTATTTAAAACAATCACAGATAAAAGAAACAAATATACAGTACTAAAGGAAGTAAAACGCGTAGGCCTACGTATTTTGAAGATTCATACGTCGTTAGATTCGTCTTGATAACGCGAATATCATACTCATAGCCCATCTATAGGTATAATAAAATTGTAACTAAGCCGAATCTGTACATTAAATATTTTGTGGAAAATCTTATTGAAATCGACATTATTATCGATACAGAGGCCGAATCTATAGTTTTTAGAATTTTTGTCTGTCTGTCCGTCCGTCCGTCCGTCTGTCTGTTACCGCATCACAGAAAAACCACTGGAGGGATTTTGATGAAATTTGGTATGGTAATAGCTGGTAATCCGGGTCAACATATAGGATACTCTTTACCATGGGAAAATATCTCAATTCTGAGAAAAAAATACAAAAACTGCAATGTAGAGTATACTAATATGTAAAACCTAAGAATTTGGTAGGTATTTGGCGATCTGAACGCGGGCGGAGCCGCGGGCAATGCTAGTAGGCTATATAAAAATAGTTAAAATTAAAATGGTGGATGGATGTGGTGGATGGTGGATTCAGGCGCTAATTTGTGTCTTTAAAAAATATTTCTTCCTGGTTTTAATGACGGTATAAAGGTTTTTAAGAAGTGATCACAAAAATATATACAACCACAAATCATATAATACAGTTCTCGAGGCGTAAGCTCAGCTTTGCATTTGTGTGAGTGATTGCCAAAAGTAAGGCTAGTCAAAAAAATCGCAAAAATAAAACCAATATTTTAACAAAAGGAAATGCTGACATTTTAATTATAAAAAAAACAGTCATGAGGGCTGTCGACAGAAGTGAAAAGTTAAAACTATAAACAAACAGTTGTTATTTTTAGATATTCAAATTGTTTGATCTGAGCGCGAGGACTGTTATAACTTATACCACGGTAATATTATATGCATGTACATTAGCATGGTTGTACTATTAACTAGGTTTAACAATTATCACACTTGCAATGTTCATGTTGAAGCAGAAATAAATTATTAATTAACTATTGAATAATTAATTGAAAAATTGTGATAAAAAAAATTTCCGGCGGAGTATTGTTCATTTATCTATCCAGTAATAATTTTTCATTTCTTCAATTTTAAATTTCTGTCCGAAGTAGGCGTGGCTTGCGCATGCCAGAGCAGGTGTTTTCGGCCGTATTTTGATCTCTATTGGAAAACTAAAAATATTGGTCCTACAGTTCCGGGAGTCGTGACTTTTTTTTAGGAAATTTTCTCCTCTTTTTGAATTTTTTTTTAGATTTGAAAAATCTTAATTAGTTTATGAGATATTTGCAAGAAATTAAACCCCCTTTTCTATTTTTAGTTAATTCCTCCACGACTGCGGACACGGCGGCGTTACAGTTAACAATAGAATTCTTAGAAATTTACCTGGAGGTGTTAATTGTTTATAAGCTTAGCAATTTTTGGAAACGGAACTTGATTTTTTTCAAAAATCATGTACGTGCCATTCCGAATCGAATGACACCTCGTTCATATTATTCCGAGACTGCTGAAAAAAGTTGAACTAAAACGCACTTGTTGACTCGACCACATAATAAACTGGAGTAAAGAATGCAATAATTGATATTATGTAAGTAATTATTTATTATAACTGCCTCGGTGTTGTAGTGGCTAGCATGTACGGCTGCACACCCGGAGGTCCTGGGTTCGAGTCCCGGGTCGGGCCAAGTTTAGTTATTGAGATTTTCTGTATAGTAAGCCTCAGTAACAGCCCGGAGTCGAGAAGTTGGCGGTGTTTCACCCCCGTGCCTCCGAGAGCACGTAAAGCCGTCGGTCCTGCGCCTTAACTCTCACCGGTCGTGTCGGGTAGTTGTCCTACCGGAGTATGAGAGTGACAGGAATAGAGAGTGCACTTGTGTCTGCGCGTACACTTGTGCAATAATATCTCTTGCGCAGTTGGCTAGTCTCAATGAGATTGGCCACCGTGGCCGGAATCGGTCTGGAGAACATCATCATCATGATCATCATTTATTATATTTTATAAACATTATATTATTTTCGTCTTATTATAATCTAAATGTTATTTCTTCGATGGCTAGATACTGTATCATATAAATACATGATATATAGGTTAGGATTAGTTGGTTATAAAAGAAATGGTGGTAAAGATTCATGTATTATTTATTAATAATTGAGCAAGCGTTATTTGCGAAGAAAACAGTAAGTACAATTATTTAAGCTAGTAGCATTAAAGGTTTGTGTTCCTCGTCTCTTTGAGAAGGAAGCGGGTAGCGGTAAAGTGGGTTGGCGAAGATTAAACGTAAGTAGTGATCAACTTTGTAACCGACGCAGACGCACTGGTGAACGGCGCCATCGCAGTAGCAACCTCGGGCACATTTCTGGCCGTAGATATCATTTTCCATTTTCTCAGTGCAGGTCTCTCCGGGTCCCTGTTGGTGGTTATAAATTATAATATACATTATAATATACAATAATATAATACACATAATATAAATTATTAAAATTAATAAAAAAATAATACAGCTTTGTAAGAGGCACACGCGCACTCGATCGATATTCAATCTAGGTAATATTTTTTAATATAGGTAAATGCAAATTTTAAAGAAAGATAAACTAACAAAAATATTTTCGTATCTACAGTATTAAGTAAATTAATATTAAACGTATATCTAACTTTATGTATCTACATTACGAATTTTGTTTAAAAGTAAGAATTTTTGAGCATCAGAACTTGTTGCTGAAAATAAGAATGCTAAGTGTAATAAGATAACCTATTTTAGGCGATGTGTACTTTCACAGAAAAAAATATTTTTTATAAAACAGGCTATTCGTACCCTATAACAGTCCAAACGGTTGCCGCATTTCTCGTTGAAGTAGGTGTCCCATTGGCATCTTTTGAATCTCTTATTGCCTTCGTCGATGGTGCATTCTTCATGTGCTTGTGAGATTTCACAAACTGGGCATTCTACTAAACTATAAAATATGCCTTCAATTACTATAAGTGTAACGATACCTTTCCAAATTAAATTAACCACGAACTAGGGTCACGTTATGGTTGTCTGTTCAATGGACTCGCCTTGCACGTCGATACAGTGATAATGAGTAAAAAAAACTGTATAAAGTTATGTTATATGATTAATACATCTACACTAATATTATATGTAACGAATAAACTCAAAAACTACTTACAGGACCGATTTAGATGAATTTTGGTAAGAAGATAGTTTGAGATCCTAGGAAGCCCATATGATATTTTTTATTAGGTGGGTGAAAATGGGGATGAGAGTTTGTATTGGGAATCAACCTAAGGACTAACCAGAGTGAAGCCAGGGTGAGTTGCTAGTTAAATATATAAAGAAAAAGAAATATAATATTAAATAAAAAAATATTAAAATCCATTTTTTTTTATTCTTAAAAACATAAAATAGCAAGATAAAAAAATAGTAGGTTTCTAAAACATGCAAAATAAAAACTCACCATAAGCGAACCACATCGATAGACACAATTACCTATCCATCTCGGTGTGCGGCTCTTCCCTTTCGATATGGTTTCTAGATTCATAGCCTCTATAGTGTGCCAAACTGGAGCCAATCAAAAGTAGAATGTAGAAAACTGAATGCATGTTGTGAAGAGTTCTGTATCAGAAAAAATACAATGTTTGCGACTTTAGAAACATATAATTAATATACGATATATTTTAAACTATGAAAAGCAACTTTAAAAAGGAACATTTGTTTCTCTCAATTTTAAAGAGATAATATCCAAAGATATTACACAAGCTAATGTGCATCTTTGGCAATTTTTTTGGTGAAGGTTGACAACTATGTATTTTATAACGGAAGAATCGTTATTATATGTAAAATATAAATAAATTTCACCTCTTGACCCACCTCATGTACGCCTACGCCAGTCACCATACACTAGAACAGGGTTTCCCAACCTTTTTTTTTTGAGCCTCCATGGATTATAAAAAATATGTTCATGCCCCCATTTTTTTTATTATAATAAGGAACATAATTTTAACTATTTTTTGGTTACTTTAAATTATACAATATAAATTCTCTCTACGCCACCCTAAGGGTGCGTGCCCTTCTGGTTGGAAAGTCCTGCACTAGATAATATATTTAGCATGCTTGGTGTATCCTTTACACTGAACGCTTAAACTTAAAGCGTAGCTAAGGGATTTACTTTTTTTCATCATAGAAATGATACCTACATAGGTATATTTTTATGTTTACATATCATGATTTTAAAATATTGTCATATTTTATAAGACATAATACTCCATCTCAAGGTTGCCTAGAAAAGATCGTTTCTGGCGTTTAGGCCGCCTGCTGCAAATCTTTTCTCTATGTGTTTATGTATTTCAGTTTATATCATTTCCTTATTACGTACACATACCATAGCTTTTGCTAATTATAGTATAGGTATTATAGTATTACTGGAATGTTAAATACATTCCAATTAAATAAAATTCCCATAAGTAATTATGTACTTTGTACAAAGTACATGAATGTATATAGAACTTATACTATCGACGGAATTAATATCAAAATCATCTTTTATTCTAAGAACTGAATAAAAATATGTGGGTGTAGGAAAAAGAATTTGTGATGATGGCACTTTGAGCGATGAGCTTGTTTCCGAAGAAGTTGTTATTTTTTATAACTTAAACTAGCGACTCACCCTCGTTCCGCTCGGGTTCCCTATACTTACGTTTTAACGTTTCGTAAAAAGTATCCTATATGTTGACCCGAATAACCGGCTATCATCATACCAAATTTCATCAAAATCCTTCCAGTGGTTTTTCTGTGATGCGGTAACAGACAGACTGACAGACAAAAATTCTAAAAACTATAGATTCGGCCTCTTTATCGATAATAATGTCTATTTCAATAATATTTTCCAAAAAATATTAAATGTACAGATTCAGCTTAGAATTTTATTATAGGTATGTATAGATAATTTGATAATGGCAATATATGTAGGTACAGAACAAAAATTATAAAGTGTGATGTTTTCCAATTATACGTATTTTTCTCAAATCACTAAGTACTAACACGTTTTGGAATAATACCTATACGAGTATATATTGTTTTGAATATCAAAACAATATGCTCTTCGAAAACATTTTCTATCATTAGAATCGGATTTCTGTGGTCGGATAAGAAATTCTTATGAAGTACTACTACTACTACTACTCTAATATTATATGTATAAAGGTACTTATAAATGAGCCGGAATTTTTTATTACAACAAATGTATATTTATTTTACTCATGTCTATGCTTCGATATTATAAGTATCATAAACATGAATATATAACGAAGGAAAACTGATGAACGTTATACTAAGTACCTACTACCTAAATATATCATATATGCTTTAAAGTTTTATGAATTTGTCTAAATTTTATACTGGAAGGCCATTATACTTTAATATTTAAATAAGTGACTCGATTTCACGAGTCACTGACACTATATTAAATTTAAAATTAAGCGTCATTCCAATGATGCTGCGAGTAATGGACGCGGAGATATTTCCGAAGACTCTGAGACTTGCTGCGTACGTTCACTGTAGTTTTGTTATTGTTTATAAATAAAAAGCTTTGGAACCAAAAATAATTTGAATATATTGGCACAGCAGTGTAAGTACGATGCGAGTGCTTGCGCAAGCGCCGCCCGCCCAATAGGCCACTCGCGAAATGCGCATTCATAAGAGAAAATTCGTGCAACACGGGTGTTACTATTCTGAAAGAGACATATTTTCTGATATTAAACTAAAGAAAGACATAAATTTTAGAAAACAAATTGTTGAAGTGTTTGTATAATTTATCTGAAATATGGGAATGATTTCGCGTGTGCGTGGTCGTATTAGAAGTGATTCTTTCTCGAAGTTTCAGACTATCAAATCAGAGGACAAGATTGCAAATATTGGTGGGTACAATTTTTTTTTTGATAATATTAAATTCGATAGTGATCTGTTTATATTATAAGTATGCTTAGAAGTATTTATTCATAAATGATATCATCCATGTATTTTAAATACTACTTAAATCAATAATTTCGATTAGTAGAATCATTTATATTTAGTTTCCTTTTTTATTAGTGTAGAGCATTCATTATAGATATACATTTCGCTTCTAACGTGACTAAAGTCACATGGTATGTATTTGCTTCTATATCATTAGATACTATATTGTGCAAAGCTATAAGACTCGTAAATGTACAAAAATAAACAAATATGTATGTTAATTAACTAGATATTGCTTGTGGTTTCCCCTACGTATTTTATGTATTACATACTAGGTATATCTTTTTTTAAGTCCAAAATAACCAAACACCAAAACCATGAACCATGATCAATCTGTTTTTGGATCTAAACTGCCTGAAATAAAAATTATACGGGACTTAAAATCAAAAATTAATTCAAAATCCATCCATCCATTCTTATATGATACGATTTAAACATAAAGATAATTGTAAAAACTATTTACTTCTAATACTTTCTTAGATTTACGCGAATATTTGACATTTTAAATAAAACTATCTCTCTCGTCTCGTCTCTCCCGTGACCATGATTGCTGTAAAGCATTCGAAACGTCGGGAAACAAAAATACAAATAAATCTGCGACAAAAACCGAAAAGATAGTTTTATTTAAAATAACTATTTACTTCTATTATATCCTGAGTACTAAACAAATATATCAATTTTATTGTATCAACACCGCAAGTAGTTTCTCGCAGGCTTTGAAAATTTGAAACAAATTCTAAACTACTTGGATATTCTGATTAAACCGTTTGTAATCTTTATATCTAGTATGGCTGATCTCGTTGGTGTTCCTACTGCCTTACTGGGCACCTCGAGGGCTATTGGTGGCGCTAGGTGGCGCGTGGTTGATGGCTGCCTACACCTGTTTGGTGTTGCCCCTGCTTATCTCTGTTAACTATCGTTATCCCGCTAGGTGGTATCCTGCTGTTGTCAAACTAGCTCGAAGTAAGTAAATATTTTTTTATATTTATGTTTTTCCTACTATTATGAACTAGGTTAGCTATATTTTGATAGGACATTTTTTTATTTATTGCGAAACTAAAAGCCAGTGCTAAAATAAGCTTCATTTATTAATAATTCTTTGTCATTTTATATATTTATTTCAAAAGTTTATTTTTTAAATCGCAATTCCAACATACGTCGCATCAAAGTAGGTAAACAAGGGGTGTGCCAAACTGACCTACCGCCCCCGATGTTTATGAAAATACTTCAAAATAAACCATCTATGATCATTTATTTATGGTCACTTCTGTTGATAATAAATAATAAATGGCCATTTCTTATAAGTTGTTGTTATAAAAAAAAAGAAATAATAATTATTTGAGGAAAAAATAAATTTGAATTGAGGTTTGTAGTATTTTAAGAACTGGGTCGTTTGTATTTAAATGTCGTAAAAAAATAAGTGAACCAAATTCCCAAAGCCATCGTCTTGTCTTGTATATTCGATACTAAAACATTGTTTAATAATAATTTTATATTATGAGTTATAAAAGTTGTAAAATGCTAAACCTGCATGAATTTTAAATAATAAAATATCTTAAATGATTGTCTTATAAATAAAGTCAACGCCTCTCAAAACTTTTGTTTATTGATCCAAAAAATATTTTCAAGAATTCTTAAGCTCAATAGCTTAATTATTAACTATTGTTATTTCATAAAAAAATGTGTTTAAAATTACTTTTTTTATTTTGATTAAGGTTTCGGTTACAAATAAACACGACTTGGCATTGTTTATATCAAATATCGTGGTGTCTAACAATTGTATACATGTACATATGTATTTATGTAAGAGAGTCAGGTCATTGTCGAGAAGCTGAATGGAGCAACGGAAACTGGCTTTTCGCCAGCGCATGTGCGTCAGTCCAATTACTAATGTTTTTTTGACTTTTAGCTGTCTTATAGCTTAGTTTTACTGTTTGTTTTCAGAAAGCAAATTTTGAATTTCCCTTTGTATTTTGTTTTACAATTGAATTTTAACTGATAATATTGTTATATAAAATATATGTAGGTATGCTTTACTACTTAAATATAATAAAACTAACGAACTTTAAAACTTACCAGAGATGTTGTGTTGAGAGGAATTTTGTAGTTGAAACCAATGGATGGCTGCTCTGAACTATTTTCAGTGAGGCAAGGGTTGTCCTTTTATACTCTTATAATTCTTTGAAAAAATATCTACTCCTACAGATGAAGTAATCAACAATATGCAAGATGTAACTAATACAGTACTAAAATATTATTTTCTATTTTTTAGGAAGCATAATAGTGTGTGTATGTGTAAGCTGGGATGCATGTGTATTTTAGAGCATTAAAAATAAAACAAAACATTTTACCTTCTTAAGAGAAAAGTTTATATTATCATTACTAAATGTTATTAGATACAAAGTGATCAATACACTCTTAGATTTACGGGAACATTTTAATTAATAAGACTTTCTTCACATTTTTTCGCGGTCTTGATGCTATAAAGTGTAAAGCATTTGAATAGTCGGGAACCAACAATAAAAAAATACAAACGAAAAACCCAAGAAATAGTCGTGTAGTTACTTTAAATCCATGTAATGCACAGGTTACTACTATATCTATATTAATTTAAAAAGATACAAAATATAAAAAGACGTCTTGTTACTGGTTATTTATCATATAAAGCCATTCAGAAAATTTATGCTATTTTCTATAGTAAAAAAATAATTATGTAAATCATTAAAAGTCCTTTGAGTTGGAAAAGAAACCAGTGGTCAATACGTTCTGACAGGCTCTTGATAACCGTTACCTTGAAATCTTGTAAAAAATAAGGCTAGATATACCTAGTCTATACATATAATAAATTAGTTATATAAGTATCACACACAAATTTAGTTTTTTTCATGTATGTAGGTAATTATATTTGTCAATTTGAAATACCTAACTTGAGAAACGGTTTTGACTTTTGAGTTGGACTTTTTTGTGTGCATGATAGTCTGAATTAGAAAAAAACCTTGATAAATTTTAATCGGCCAAGTAAATTAGATTTGACGACACGTTTGGCTCAGTTTGTAGTGATCCTCCTTGCTGTGCTAGTGGTCGCGGGTTCGAGTCCCGCTGGGAGCATTCATTTGTGCGAATGTTTGTACTCCCGTCATGAGTGTTTATATTTATAATGTGTATGTATTTAAAGTTTATCAACTATCTGGTATCCATAACACAAGCCTCGCAGCTTACCATGGAACTAAATGGTGTTGTGTGTAAACATCCCTACATATTTATTTATTATAAGAACAGTTTGAATTACTCTTTCTTATCGTTATTTACTTACATGCATATTATGTGAAGGTGTGTTTATTGCCTATGCCCAAGTAGAAATGTACAAGTGCATTTGAATCTCTTAATTCTTTGTCCGTTATAGAAAGGAATTTCTATGTCCGTTATAATTATACAATGCATTGTCATACACTTCCCCATCAATAATAAATAATATGAATATCAATGTAGGTAAATTACAATTATGTAACACTTTATATATTGTTGCAGAAGTCGCTCGTCGTCTTCATTCGCCTATCGCTTACTTATTAGGAATCCTGAAAACTGCATACACACCAGTCGATAGAGCAGAACGCCTGTTTTTGCAGATGAATAATCTTTCAACTATGATTAGTCAGGTATTAGATACTTTAGTATATTATAAAAGCAAAGGGATTAAAATCCTAAAAAAAAACAATTGTCTCCCTTCACACCATTATTGGTCTTAATTATTGCCAGTAAAGCACTAGATATAATACATAATATAGGTCTTTTTAATTTTTTTAAACATATAGATTTAGTCAATTTTGCTGTGTATTTACAATTTAAACTTCTGTAAAAATATTGGAGACATACTCTATATAACACTAAAGAAAGAAAGTAAAGTTCCTGCATTAAAATAATTTATTTGGTACAAGTAAATAGTAATATTTATTGTTAATATATATTAAAGGTTTTGTTTTTTTTCCAGCTGCTTATATTCACTGCATGTGATCGGCTGCTAGTGTATCGAGGACGTTTGACGTGCTTATACTCCTTGATGTTCTATAATGTGATAACATACTCCGTAAGCTACGTGCGCGAAATTTGCACTAAAGAAGATTGGTCCCCATACGTAAATGTGACTCGTCATTCTCGAGTTAAGCATCTTGCTATGTCAGCAACGAAGATTGTTTTAGAATGGACCAAAGCTGTCACCTTTATAGTGACGATGACTTTTATTCTCCTTACTCTAGGATTAGAACAAGGTTTAGAACATTTTCGCCCAACGATATTATATACCGCCATAACTGGTACGTATTATCTTCTATCAGAGAAGACATTTCTTGAATTGTGGCCCATCGCTTTATCTGCACTGAAGTTGGAACTTCTAGAAGGTATGGAGGCACTTTATTGTGGGGTTTGGGCAAGAGGTATTACTACAGCAATTGCAATTCCTCTTGTTCCGGCGCTTGCTTGGAATGAACGTTGGCGATTAGCAGTGCTGATTTTTTACATTTGTGTTATTGTCCATGGACGCCACAGATTAGGTGAAGCACTCGTTAAGTTAAATGAAGCTCAAAAATCACTTGCAAGATTTAGACGTGCGACATCTGAAGAGCTTTCAACATTAGAAGATGTATGCGCTGTATGTCTTGGCACTATGAAGTCAGCCCGAGTGACTCCTTGTGCGCATTTTTTTCATGCAGACTGTTTGAGGAGATGCCTAGCAACATCGGACAGGTGTCCTATCTGTGTAAGAGAATACGTATTTTGCTAAAGAAGGCCTGTGACTAATAACACTAGTTATTTAGTATAGAGTGCAACCACATTCTACTTCGAAGTATTGCCTTTGACTGACATATGTATTTATGTGATAAGTCATAAACATAAATTAGATATACGAGCTTATTTAACTTGGCCACCGTAGAACTCTAAGATGGAAACTTAGTACCCACCCTATCCAAGGTGGATTTGAATCTGATTGCTATTCTAATTATTTTATTTATTATTGTTAACCATATGTACAGTAAACAATAAATATATTTTTAATTACACATATATGATGTTCCATCGTGAGGTCCTGGACTCAAGTCCAGGTTTCGAAAAAGAATAACTTTAGAGATTTTATCAATGGTCATGAAGGTTAAGCTTCTTATCAGATACTGACAGTTGTCGTATAGAATCAAAGGTGGCCATCTCATTTTCTGGCACTTTTGAGATATCTATACGCAAAAATTTCAAACATTGAATTAAACGGTTTTATTTGACAACACAGAACAAAATGCGGCTATTTTCCTTGCAAATGCTATGTTAAATTGTTGTTTAGTTTCAAAGACGGCAATCTTCTGCGCACTCAGAATCAAACTCGGCGCTAATGCTCACTCGACCAATCACAGTAGTGCATTTGTAGAATCAAAAGAGGTAAGCTTCGTAAGATGTGGTGTCAAAAGCGGCCACCTGTAATAAACACGGAATCACATTCGGCAATCTTCAAATGTTAGTATCAAAGGTGGCTATATTAATATTTGATTTTAAAATAGGTACGCTATAATAAAAGTAAAAGTATTATTTATGTCTTAAAAGTATCCTAAATCTTTAGTACTTACTATAATAATGGCCAGTAATACAATATGACTACTTTGTGCTCTACAAAAAGTTTTTTTCATTTACCCAAAAATGACTGAAAATGAGATAGCCGCCATGGATTCTATACGAGATTAATACTGGCTTGATTACAATGTGTATGTTTGCCTCGTTTACCTATTAATACTGTACGTGAGGTGTTTATAGGTAAAATAATGAATATTTTGTAAATGTTCATGATAATTGACAAAAAAGGTTATACTTTATTTTAAACAAAGTGTTAATTTATAAATTTAATCTTTCTATTATTTAAAATACAAAATTATTGCTGCCAAACTAGGTAGTTAACAACATTTGATGTCGTATTATTTTGAAAATAGTCAGTCAGTTAGGAACTGATTTGAGCCATGAAAGCCAACCTTTCTCAGACTAGCCATCTGCATAGGAGATATTAAAACTCAAACGTTTGTGCACCAATACAAGTGCACTCACTCTATAATATACTTTTCACTCTCAAACTCCAGTGGGACGTAACAAATTTTCGGGTACCATGAGAAACTCTTAATAGAAAATTATTTGTTATTGTACTTATTTTATATTATATATTTATATTAACAGTCTCGGTGGTGTAGTGGCTAGCATGTACGGCTGCACACCCGGAGGTCCTGGGTTCGAGTCCCAGGTCGGGCCAAGTTTAGTTATTGAGTCTTTCTGTATAGTAAGCCTCAGTAACAACCCGGAGTTGGGAAGTTGGCGGTGTTTCACCCCCGTGCCTCGGAGAGCACGTAAAGCCGTCGGTCCTGCGCCTTTACTCTCACTGGTCGTGTCGAGCAGTCGTCCCACCGGAGTATGAGAGTGACAGGAATAGAGAGTGCACTCGTGTCTGCGCGTACACTTGTGCACTATAATATCTCCTGCGCAGTTGGCTAGTCTCAATGAGATTGGCTGCCGTGGCCGGAATCGGTCAGGAGAACATCATTGTACTTATATAATACTTATCATCATTGTACTTATATTACACTTGATAAATATAATATAATCATAAACACATTAACGAGTTCAATTGTTATCTCTAGAATCGATCGTCCTTAATATTTGATCCATTGTGTAAGTTGTACTGTCATCTATATCCGATACGATTATCAGATCTTCACCAAATTTTTTACCTCGCAAATATGTACACTCAACAGTATGCACTTTCAAAAAAAAACATGCTACCAACCTATGGACCGAAGTCCAGACATCAAAAATAACAAATATGTTAAAGTTTTAAATGTACGTAATGGGAGGTCCAATATTGCATTTAAAACTTATCGTAGTGGGTGGTGTCCAAATATATTATTGAAATAATTAATAAAAATATATTATTGAATTCCGGTCAATTTTTTTTTTGTTAATTTATTTTTATTAAATATAAGAGAAATTGCAGAGTTTATTCATTTATTTTAGGTACTTGTTTATATGACTGTACATAGCAGAGAAAAATGAAAAAATATTAATAGTCCGTCTTCCGTCATCATATTTTTAGTTTCCAGTTATCAACTTAAGGATGGGTGTTCTAAGATGGTTAAGCAGAATAAGCTCGCTCAGTTTTAATAAGTTGATTCAGAAAGTCTTGAGACATGATCACGTTTTTTTATTTTATATTATTATAATTAATACAATTATGGATTATAATCAATATACTATATTATATCATAATATATCGTAATATAGTATATTGATTATAATCCATAATTGTAAGTGAATCAATAATGTAGCTATATTTTTACACAAAAAAAATGTTCGTATAAAATTTTTAAAACTTATTTCATTTTAAAAGTTAAATAAGTTTTAAAATTTTTAAATTTTACCAAAACCAGTTTAACTTTAAACTTCGTATACTTTTTAATTATATTTAGTTAATATACATTTTGGCTTTCATCAGTTCTGTCAAATAAACTCACTGTTTTTATTTCTTTTATCTAACGTTCGTAATGAAATCGAACAGATTGTAAAAATATTCTTACCAATTCTACGAGCATTATAGATGGATTGTAATATTTTTTGTATCTTCTGAATTTGTTTTCTGCTTTCTGTAGTATATATTTTTATAAAGACAACTTTAACTACTTTAAGCAACAGTAATTTTTTTATTCCTTGTAGTCGAATGAACGATATTCCTTTAGAATGACTGAAGGAGAGAAGCATAATGTGATATTTTTTTAATAATTGCTACGATTTGTATTGTGTATTGTATACACGAAATTTAGTTAACCAAGTATGTTAGTTTAATAATATTTATATTTTCAACTGTATCCTTTATGCACAAATAGAACTTCCAAATATATATATATATATATATATATATATATATATATATATATATATATATGTATATGTAGTCATTCAACGTTTATTGTTAATTAGCGCACTTATACCCATGCATAATATATGAATGTATTGTATTAAGAACGTTTTATTACTCTCTTCTATATTAAAAATGCTTTTATGACAACATAAACAGCGAATTAAGAAGGATCTTGATTGAAAGTTATGCAAAAAACAGAATTGACCACTGTTGATACAAAGTAGAAGGAAAATTCTTAGCATATTGCGCATGTCTGATCCAATTATACATTACCACAGCATCCCAGCGACAACATTGATCCAGAATACAGAAAGAAATTAAAAAGTACAGAACACATTCATAATTACTTTATTAATATGGTAGTTTTAATCTGAAATATACTATAAAATATTAAGAAACATATTGTCAAATTTTAATAAATACAAGGACACCTATGGGAAAAGATGTACTGGTGGGCCTTTATACATATGTATGTAATATGTATATATATAAGTATATCATATGCTAGAAATGCTAAATAATATATACAAATTATTAAAATAATTTCCAATCAAGTTAATATGTTAGTGCGCATGTTAAAAAATAAAAATGGTTGCTATGAGATCATATGGTTACGTCACGTAAACATTGCGGCTACATACATGTATATAGCCGTCTTTATCCTACATATTGTAACATTCAAAGTGTATAAGAAGAGACGCAAATAGTTTGAAGTATTTTCGTTCTATCTCTTTCGTTCATGACGCGAGTTCTGGCACATAGTGAAAATGTCGTATGTGGCGAGTCAAAATCTTGACGAAGTCAGTCGCCGCAGACCCATAGAGTATATTGCTACGTTCTGTGGTTGAAATACGTAGACCGTAGTTATAACCAAACTTCTAAATACAATCCGGTAATTGTGTATAAATAATAATAAACATAAATAAAATGTGAATGGTTTGTTTTTGTGAAGGCCGGAAATAATAAAATTGCTGTTGTGGAAGTTGTTGATAAAAAGGTTCGTACACTATAGTATATTTGTACATTCAATTTCTTGATAAGAATGAATATTTTTAAAATATTTAGCAACATAACATTCGATTGCATCTTTTTTACTAAGCTTCTTTGGATTAGATTTATTGTGTTTTTTATAATATTGAATTGGATCTATAATTTCCCCAATTTGTGTTTAAAATATATAGTATTTATAAATATATTGAAAACACTAAATGAAGAATGATATTATTTCATTTATAATCGGTGAGCATTTAAAAAAATATGCACATAAAAAAAATGTAAATCAAACAGGTAATTTAAAAATAAATAATATATTTTCTAATAAATAGCATTGTTTTATTCGTATTTTGTATGGAAAAAGTTCTCGAACGTATAATATAACGCAAAAGATTTGAGAATATATATTTTTATAACATTTTTTGACTAAGGGTTAAGTTTAACACTTATAATTTGAGAATCACTGGACATGATGTAAATGATAAATAATATGTTTTAAATTAATAATAAGTATTATTCTACTTAATAAGTTTAGTTATATTTTTTTTATCGTTTATACGTTTATTTTAGTGGTTCTTGGTAGTTTTTAAATTTGATATTGTTTGTTCTTTATTTAGGAGCTCTTGACCCTCCTTTTATAAGTTTGTTGTTGATGTTTTAAAAAAATATTATATACGATTTCTATTAATACGTTTCATTAGGTATTTCTAACAATCCATTGTATGACACAATCTTGAAGTTATACGTCTCCAAGGCGCCAAAGCTTACGTCACACTAGAGGAGACCTCTAAACTTATTTAAAAGTACTAGCTAGGTAAGTACCTCTTTTAGTTTGTTAAGTTAGTTATGTATTTAACCCTTAAGCACTGTTATATTTTTATACCATTACTACCGTTATAGGTCTCCCATACATAAACGGGTGATTTAAAAAAAAACTATCAATTTTGTACTTAATTATTTATTAAACATATTAACTGTTGCATAGCATCCTTTTAACATAAATTATATAACATTCAAACACCAACTAATAGTTTTTTAGCAACTTATGATGTGAACATTATTTTAAAGCACTCATTTTGTTATAAAATTTTAAAATATTAAAACCAGAGAAAACCAGTGGACTAATTTTGATGAAATTTGGTATGTTGACTATACTTTTTACTGCGGAAATATATATCTCATCTCTGAGAAGTCTATCCTAAACTTAGTATAAGTATTTTATGATCTGTGACTAAGCGTTAAAACGTAACTAGGGATGAACCCGAGCGGAGCGAGGGTGAGTCGCTAGTACGAAATATAATCTATAAAAATATATTATACATAATTTATAAAAATATTACAATAACTTTCTCTTTGTTATACTTATTTGCTCATAAATATTTTAAATATGATTGCTATAGTAGTCAGGCATTACTAGGACCTGCCAATGGAAGGAGCTTTTAAACACAATATAATCATTAACTATGGAAGATATGTATGTACCTAGTTAGTTATAAGGAATGGCACAGTAGTTATAAGAATAGTACCTAAACCTAAATTATAAATATTTATAATAAGTTACAAAAAAGTTAAGTGTGGTGTGTGATCGGTTGTGGTTGTGTCATACAATGGATTTATTTATATTATTTAATTCATCTTGGATAGAAGAAATCGGACAAGTGGGAGTCCCACTCGCGTACCGAGGATACCTACAGCACCGCCAGGCGCCAAACCATGTGGTATCTATTAGTATAAAATTAAAGCAATAAACCTTTACTAATAATCTTGCGAGATACACCTATGTGTATCCTACCTATGTAGTCGAGAGCAAGATTACTGTGATCTAATTATAGTCGACAGTAATGAAACTAAACGAATTTAATCATATAGTAGCGACTCACCCTCGCTTCACTCGGGTTCGTCCTTAGGTACATTTTAATTTTATTGAGTGGAACCCTAATTCTTTTACTGAAATAAAAGTAGACTCAGTTACTCCTTACAACATCAACTACCTGCTAGTGAAAGTCCCGTCAAAATCGGCCCAGCCGTTTCGGAGATTAGCCGGAACAAACAGACAGACAAAAATTTTAAAAATTGTGTTTTTTTAATAAATACCGTATATATAATTCCATAGTAAAAAGCTGTTATTTTGACATTACTAACAGACACATCAATTTTATTTATCTGTATAGATTTTACCGTGGGTGGAGGTAATTGATTGATTAGTTGATATGAGATTAAAATCTATGAGTAAATAGCAATGGATCAGTCATCGAGTATTGTGTAGCCAAATGTGAAACCGTTACCGTACTAAGCCGATTGCCGAATATAGGTAAACTAGTTACGTCATACAGTTGACGAGATCACGTCTCTCGAGACGAGATGAACATAATTAAGTACTAAATACTAGCATCAAATACATACCTTTATATTGTAATTTTTTTAGTAAAGTAAGTAGATATTCACTGTTATATGTTATAGTTAGCTTAAAGCCAAGAAAGAGGTAACCTTGTAGTAGTAGGTACATA